ACAGACATGTCCGCCGCTGTGGAGATCCGAAGGATAGATTTGGTGTACAAGAAATGAAATTCAATAATGATAAGAATGTGTAAATTGATACTATTTCACTACTAGCTTATCAGTCATCACCCAACTTCACAGCTACGTGTCGCCACTGGTGTTGAAATGACTTCATAGCCTTCGCCTCCATAGAATCAATGCAGTTACTTTAGAACTGTCTTCTACCAACATCGCACTAATTAATGAACGAATTTCTCAAAATTTAATAACTTGATAAAATATGAAGTATTTACTTAAGATCTCAGTTAAGACAGTGGGGTAGTTCTATTTCCTGTTATCTATTGAGGAAATGGTGTTTCATTAATGGGACATTCTTTTTCAAATTTTTCCTTTTTTTTCTGTCCTATAAGAATTTAAAAACTAGTGGTGCTACAGAATGGCACAGGCATTCCCGTATTAGTTTTCCATATCCTTTTGTCTCGGCTAGCTACTCGGACTTGCCACATTACTCTTGCCAGCTGCCATTTATCGCCGCCCAAAGTACATTTTTTTGAAATATTCTTACTTTTTCGGTTTCCTAATAGAATGGATATATTATTTTAATAATATTAAAGGACAGTAAAACCTCGTTCTCAACGGCAATTTTCTTTGAAAAATTTGTTGCCGTTTTTAAGAAAATGGCGTTTAAACGCTACTGAAAATTCGAAATTTAATCCTCTTTTCGCAGAAAAGTTTCGAAAAACTTCAAATGAAGTAATTTAAAGCACTTCCAGTCAAAAATGCAATAGTGTTTGCGAGTTGTTTGGAAACGTAGAGATATTTATAAAAATGGCATTGGTGTAATTTTTGAAAATACAAAAGAATACAGAAAAATTAATTCTATGTCATCTTAGACAGTGTAATTATCACTATGAGTGGAAAAGCTTGAAGAAAAAATTTGGAGCCAATTTTGAGAAAATGGCGTTTGAGAGTTTCTGAAAATGTGAAATTTTGAGCTCATTTTCTCAAAAAAATGTTGAAATAAACTTTATCTAACATTATTTAAAGCTTATGCACTCATAAATACATCAATGTGAACAAATCGCCGCTAATTTAAATATTAACGACGTGAGAGACAAGTCAAAAAATAGCATTTTTGTGCTTTTTGAAGAAAAAACACACAAAAGAATTAAGCAATAAGACGAATATGTTATCTTTTTTTTAAATTGCAAATATTTCACGTAGTGTTGCTCGAAAACGCCTAAAATTTTCCAAAAATGTACGTAACCTTATTGAAAGAACGGATTGTGAAAGAAAAGTCTCTACATTCAATTTTGTAGTAAGAGGAAGACGCCGCAAAGAATACAAACTTATGCAATTTTCTACAATTCACAGTGAACCATGAAAATCGGACCTATGCTACCTTTATAACTGTATTTTACTCCACTCGTACATGAAATTTAAAGTAAAAATTTGGAGCCGTTTTTGAGAAAATTTTGAAAATATCCGGGGGTCTTCATGTAAAGTACCCCCAAATTTTATAGAAGATTTTTCAAAATCGCGGCGCCTTGAGCGGAGCCAGATTGACCGGGGAATATCCATTTCGGAAAAAAGTATGGTTTAGGCAAGGCTTGTCCAAGGGCGGCCCGCGGTGCCATTTATTGGAGCCTGCGAAAGGTTATTTGTCAATAAAAGAGATACATGGCGGTCGAGAACATAAGGCGCCTAGCGCACACGCGCTGCCGGAGTCAACTTCTCGTTTATGTAGAAATGTATGAAGTTTACATTTAAGACATTTTTTCGTGTAAATTCAGAAATTCAATATCATCCTGTGTGTTATCACTGCGTTATGCATGGCAAAGCCTGACATAACGCATGGTTTCACCCCATCTCCCTCCGTTTCAGAGCAGCCAAGCAAACTGCCGAGATCAAGTCGGGGTCATGTGTGGGTCGCCGGCAACCATATTGAAGGTGTTAGATGCGGCCCTTGTGGCCTTAAGTTAGACATTCGTGGTTTAGTCGCTAGTGGTGTTCAGACGGACGGATGGACGGAGTTTTGAAAATAACAACTTTTTCGGTATCTGGGGACCCCCAAACGGGCATTTCCGTTGGAATCACGAAATCGATTTTCCGCAGCATTACATAACTTTTCCTCTTACTTCGTATATTACTTAGTTTATACGTATGTATACGGGAATGTAAAAACCACTTTTTCGGTATCGGAGGACTTCAAATCGTGTATTTTCGTTGAAATTTCGAAATAGTTTTTCTGCAGTATTACTTTGCCTATAATACGTATATTACTCCGTATATACGTATGTATACGAGAAAGTATCTTGCGGCTCTCCGATTTGAAATACTCAAAAATTTTGGAAATTCAATGAAAATCAGACCTGCGACATTTTTATAATTGAACTTTGCACCACCATCCTTCCCGCCAAATCAGCAATTTTTGAGAAAATTTTGTTTTAAAATTGCCATTACTGCACGTAAAATTGCGCGGCAACTATTGACTTCTTGGCTGTCCGGGTGACGCCGCGTCCTCGGCCAAGGACGCGGATGCTTACGTGTATACTACTCATATTTTCAAAAATTGTGCATGAACGTATCTAAAGATCAAATTTTGTATGGCAGATTTTTTTTAAGAAAAATCCTTCGCAACTAAATGAAAACAAGAAATCTCTATTATTATTATTATTATTATTATTATTATTATTATTATTATTATTATTATTATTATTATTATTATTATTGTTGTTGTTGTTGTTGTTGTAGTTGTATGAAGACGCCGAAAACGTTTTAAAATTTCGTAATTTTAGAAAATTCAGAGAATTTACGAAAATCGGACATTGGCCTTTCTTTTAAGCGTACTTTGATCCCTGGGAAGGGGCAAATTAACAGAAAAATTGGTATCATTTGTGAGAAATGTCCTGTCTTCATGTAAGGAACCTCCAAAAATCAAAGTATCCGTTTCAAATGCAAAGGTCCTCGACATCAGATAGTTCGATTGGGAAATATAATTTTTTGTGCAAATCCTGCGCACGGTTTAACCGTTAGTGTTTTTCAAAGACAGACGGTTAATGGTTTTTCCGTAAGCACATTTTTCTGTTTCAAAGGCCTGAAAACATGGATTCTGACCACACGTGTTAGAGGAAGTACATGCAATTTACTACATACAAGAAAAATAATTATCGGTACTAGGGACCTACAATACAAATTTTCTCACGAAAATCGCCGTTTTTATCTGCAATATTACACAGCTTTGCCAACCTGGTTGGCCGAACTGGCTAAGAGCGTGAACTGACTCAGCGCTTCGGTCCAAAGGGTCGCGGGTGCGATTCCCGCCTTGGGCATGGTTGTTTGTCCCTTGTCTCTTATGTATGTTGTTGCGGTAATGTTACGTAAAGACGATTACGATACCTAGAGACACGACAATGCAGAATCAAGTGTGCACGAGCTCTGGAGACCTAGAGAAATTACTAATGAAATATGGACGAAGCTAACAATTGAAAACAATTGATTCTTTAAATGACAAATAAATACATTCAATTTTCAGTTTGTTAATTTTTGCTATATCTCTAAGTTAATAAAATCAGTGTGGGGAAATTATATTTAATGATATCATCGGCTAAAATGACCCTCTGATATAGTGAACCAAACATATTAGTCCTCTCCCCAGAAGTTAACTATAACCGGAGTCGACTGTACTATGTGCGAATCTGACGAGAAAGTGAAGCATGAACGTTTTTGTGTTTATAAGACGCCCTTTTTAGATGATCGTAAGAAAAATATTTTAATAACCCATCTCCCAGTAACTTCAAAAATATAGGCTAGAATATTCGGAGCACCTTGCTATGGAAACGCAAATGTCACGCCTCGTCACTGGAATGTTATGATTATGATTAAACAAGCCGTGTAATGCCTGGCAAGAAATGTTACGTATCCATGGGGCAAAACGGAATTTGTATAGGTATAACAACGGGTCAGATTTCCTTCTAGCAAAATAAGCACTTGCCCTGTCCCCCAGCCATGGGGAGAGGGTAGTGCCGCCTGGAAAAAATGCATCAAATATTCGAAAAAACACGCCTTCAAATATGTTTGTGTCTGTAAAGTTGTTGTTACTAAATATCGCACATCAACTGATCGCACTGTAGAACCCCTGATGGGCAGATCCCAGGGTTCGAGTCTCGACGGTGGCAGAATTTTCGACACCTGCTACATAGCAAGGTCGCGCGGCCTGGAGAAAAATTCTAGTGGCCGGCTGCTCTGTTCCGTAGTTTCCCGTGGTTTCACTGATCAACACCAGCGAATGCTGGAGCAGTACCCTAACGAACCGGCCACGGACCGCACGCTATGTTTCCTTCTTTTCCTTTTTCTTACCTCACCTCTTACTTACACACACACGCACTACTATACATGCCGGGAGACCAGTCGGGAGCTTAGACCTTGTTCCAATTGGAGCTGCTGGTGGGAGATACGTGGTTAGAGAAAACCCCGCAAGCTGACAGGTAGATCACCGCTACCTCCTGCAATAAAAAACGTGCACTACACTTACTGAACTAATGACCTTAGCAGTTGGCGCGCCATGAATGAATGAAATGAATGAATGAACGAACGAACGAACGAATGAGTGAATCAATCATTCAATATGCTCCACTCTTATCCATTACACTGCCTGCTGTGGTTTCATGCCCGACACATGAAAAAGTTAAACTTCTCGAGTTTTTTAAAATTAAAAGGCTGTAATCAAAGTTGACGTCTGCCTTGTTATTAGAGCAAGTAATTTTAAAAAAGTTAGATGGTTTTGAGAAAAACATGTTTAGTATTTATTTTAAAATGTCACAATTTCAATCAAACATATGTAAAACTACTTATATTTTGATGAAAAAAGAGTATTATTAATATTTATCTGATTTTATTTTGATTATTGAGATAACTACATTTTTTGCTTGGGATATTTGTTTACATTTCCTGCTTGGGATGTTAGATAATTGTTGATCTGAAAAGCATACATTTTCTCTTATTTTTAGCTACAACAGCCACAGAATCACCAGCAAGTGGACAGTCTGCATCAACATCATCAGTGGGAGGAACACCAGCAGCACCAGCATCACCAGCAACACCTCCCTCTGTAGCATCATCAGTAACAGCAACAACTACAACTACAACCTCATCTGCAACCACAACAACGCCCTCAAGTGCAGTAGCAGCGACGTCAGCCACTTCAACTCCTACTTCTGGCCCTAGTGCAAGTGCTAGCAACTCTCCAGCCAACCAAGCCAGCGAAATGCTCATTGAGACTGTGCGGTGGCCCTACAGCGAGGATGAGCTTCTGCGCTGTGTGGACAATGAGGAGCTTCCTCCATTTCTGCTTCAGCTGCTGGAGGAGTCCCAAGCAGATATTTTTTATGAGGGCTGCATTATTGCTGAAGTGAGGGACTATCGTAACGCTTACCCCCATACTTCATTTAGCACCCATCATGTTCTTCTGAGGCCCACAAATCAGGTAAGGTTTCATAAAACTGTAGAGAATGTTCAAATTTACTCTCTTTTTAGGTGTGAGTCAGAAGCCAGAAGTTTTAACAGCAATGATGTGCTGCACTTGCTGGTATATAGGATTGACTCAAAACTTTCAATGTTCTTTACATTGTCCTCTCTTTCTGTTCCTTTTTCTCTCCCTTTTTCTCTTTCTTTTTTCTCACATTCTCTTTCTTTTTCTCTCTTTTTTTCTTTCTTACTTTCAAAGAAAATATTTTAAAGTTTTGAATTATTATGTTTTTTGTATCATTTGGTAATTATATTTGGTTATCTTCCCTATATGCCAGCAATAGCATTCTAGTACTACTTTTGTTAATGTTGCTCTCTTATGAGATGATTTATTTCAATTGATTACCATTGGAAAAATCTGACACAGTTGTCTACTGTACTGGTTCTCTGTAATGTTTCAGATGTGTTACAACCATGTTCAGAACTCTTCAATTTATTGTATTATTATTGATATTTTTTTAATGGATAAAAATTTTAGTGTGTAAACTTTCCATTTCACATGTTCAATTACATTTTCTGTTGACGATATTACAAGAAGTGCAGTAATTATTGATATTATAGCAATATAAATTTTCTTTTATAATATCCAGTTCATTCAGCAGAGTGTTTTGGAAATAAGCTGTACTGATACCCCTCTCACTCCCTCTCCCCCCTCTCTCCCCTATCTCCCTCTCTCCCTCTCCCCCTCTCTCCCTCTCTCTCCCTCTCTCTCCCTCTCTCCCTCTCTCTCCCTCTCGTCCTCTCTCGTCCTCTCACTCCCTCTCACTCCCTCTCTTCCTCTCTGTCCCTCTCTCTTCCTCTCTGTCCCTCTCTCTTCCTCTCCCTCCCACTCTCCCCCTTTCTCTCCCTCTCCCTCCCACTCTCTCCCTCTCTCTTTCTCTCTCTGTTTCTCTTAAAGTTACAAAGTATGTGAAGAAAGTAAATATTATTTTGAAGTTTTGGATCTTTAATTAGCACTGTAATTTTATAATTCCTTTTGTGAATATTGTAATTTGAAAGTCAATTTTCCACAACTTACAAAGAGTGTGACTTTTGTTTATGTGTACGTTTAGCAGGAAATGTGAAAATAGGTTTGTATTTTGATATTTTTTAGTGTGTTTACATTTATAATAAAATTTTATTCTTTTTGCCCATATAGAGTCTGGTGACTGACCTGCGAATGTTAACATCGCAAGGAGATTGGACCTACGAGGAAAAATTGGCTCTGGAAAGCCAGCTTTTGCTTGCTACACAAGGCCCTCTTTGCCTGGATCCCTCCCCTGCTGTTGCGATTGCTGCTACACGGCTGCGTTATAGTGCTCAACCTCTCAATACAGAGCCAATTCGACGTTGTGCTCGACGTTATTCCCAGGTATGAATTGCTGAGTGTTTTAATTATTTGTGGGTCCAACTTCACATTTTATTTTGGTATTGAGCTATCAATTTATTTTTCATACTATTGTGTAGTAAGTACTATGAAAAATGCACAAAATATTTAAATTTTTTTGTAATGACCAAAATAATGAATGAAGGAGATGAATAATGAATAATACGAAATAATGACTTATAATTTACTTGACTGTTCCACTTTTGAAATCAACACCAATAGTGTTAAACTATACATCTTTATCTACCGATCAAGATGATGAATCTCAAAACATTGCATTTTCTGATCACTTCCTCTCTGCTCGCCAAGCACAAGATGTGTTACATCACCGGAAATGCAGTTGCATGTACTAGTAGTGTGAACACAATATAATTAATATTTAACACATTCTGAAACTTTCGTGAGATAATTTCAATTCATGAATTAGTCTATCAAATACCAACATATATTGGAAATTTTAGATAAAATCCCGATACAAGATTTGGGAATTTATCAGAAATTTGCACTGCCCCTTATGGTATTATTCATAATAATTTGTTGTATCTGAGATAAATGTTGTGAACAAAGTAATTAATGAATTTAGGATGCATCTTTTCATTATACCATTAATGTTTTCTCTTAATATGTTTTGCCATTACTGGTACATTACTCACAAACAGATATACATCTTTTGTTCGGTCGTAGGCTTCCGCAAGCGAGTCAATACATTCTTGGCGATCCAGGATGAGCTGCGTCTCGGTCAATTCTGCCAAAATTTGGCCGTATTGCTGTGGTCTTCTTCAGAGCTATACTGCTGGTATGCTGCTAGAATGCAGTATAGCTCTGAAGAAGGCCACAGCAAGGTGGCCAAAACATTGGCACAATTGACCGAGACACGGCTCATTCAGGATAGCCAAGAATGTATAAACATCTTTCATTTATTCGTTGAGGTAGTGCAGAAGCAGGAGCTGTTGACCGAGATCAGGGTACAAGTCCTGACAGTGGCAGTGAAGTTTTTTCACAAGCTGCAGGGGTGCCCAGAGGGTAGGGGCAGGCTGCAGGGGTGCCCAGAGGCAAGGGCAATGGGCCGCTGTTCCAGACTTAATTGGAGCTCGGAATTTTTTTCTTTCTTTTTCTTTTCTTTTCTCTTTTCTTTCCTTCTGTTATCTTTTTTCCTTCTTTTTTTCTCTCTTATTTATTTTCTTCTTCTTTTCATTCAAACCTTAAAAGAATGTATTTACATCTAATTAACATTAACCACTAGGAAGTTCGGAAGTTATTTCTGTTGCATGGAGAGTTGAATTTTGTTTAGATATTGGAAGGGAGGGGAACTTTTGTTTAATATACCTCCCTCCCCCCTTAGTGGATCTACTGCCCCTCACCTCTTGTTTTTCTATGGCCAGTTCCTCTGTTAAATATTTTCCGTGGTTTCTCCAATCAATACCAGGGGGAGTCTAGAGCAGTTCCTAGGCCACAGATTGTGTGCTATCTTTTTTTTTTGTCATGGTTCCCTCTTCATCCCTTACATATAAATGTACACCCACATTAGATTAGATTAGATTTATTTAGTCAAAAAAAGTGTAAAAACTGTGTGATGTATGGGGGAGAAGATCATTAAATCAGATCACATGTTTTACAAGATCACACATATCAATAGCTTAAAGCTTATCCTAGACAGTACTCGTTGAGAGAAGATTCCTGAAGGTGTGGGAAAATCCTGCAAACTGACATGTAGGTCAGCAGTGGATCTCATAATCCAGAGGCAACCATCCCTTGGCACATAACATGCACTACACTTACAGGTCTAATGACCTAAGAAGGTTGACATGTGTTGAAATAATTAATTCTCACTCAGTAAACATTAGGTATGTTGAAAAGAATGTGATGAAAGGCGTATCTTATTGTACCAAGAGTCTATTGAGAATGACTAGTTTCATCAGTAAAACACAAAATAATCTCTAATAAAAATATAATTTTTAAAATATATGCCAGCTTCTTAGCTGAAGAAAATTAGTTCTTCCTGTATACTAAAATAACAAAAGCTTATATTCAGTTAAATGATGTTAATTAAATATTGAACATTATTACTTAAATGGTTTTGAATAGAAGAAGACATGTAATTATTGGAGTGAGAAAAGTGACAAAGAGATACTACTCACAAATTTCCATTCACTCTATTTTAACAGGTGGCCATTAATCGCAAACGCAAGTTGGACCAATTCTCTGCCAATCCTCATCTGCCTCTACATGACTTCTTAAGTCGGAGGCGTGCTCGCCTTCGTACCTTAAATCCAGCTGCTACTGCCACTTCAACCTCTGCTGGTGCTGCTGCTGGTGCTGCTGCAACCACTGCGTCTTCACCTGCAGCTTCCACGTCCACTGCAGTTCCTGCCTCTAAGCTTCTTAAAAAGGTATAATTTCATTTTTTGTTCAAATATGTTTAAGTTACTTGTGTTATTTTTATAGGAAAAATTTTGAAGTCCAAATTTCTGAGAGAACTTAAGAAAAGTCAAATTATTTCCATTAAAAAAAATAAGCATGTTTGAAGGGGAAGAAACCTTCTTTGGTTCCTTTAATGTAAGAAGAGGAAATTTTTCTTGACGATCTGTTTTTGAAGGAAAAAATAATTTAAATAGCCACAGTTCATCTTTCATGAGTTTTACTGTTTTAGAACCTAGGACTTTCTAAAATAATCAGTATAAATTGACATGAACGTGAAATAATGGGCATGAACTTGAATGGGCATGAAAAGGAATCCAGGAAGCATCAAGAACTCTTTTTCTCTTACACTTTTTTTCTACAAAGAAAATTAAATTTGAGTTTTAACACTTGTGACTGGTTATTGCATTAATTTTCTTTTGCTCTCCTGAGGCAGAACTCAGTCTGGATAATTTGGAAAACATTTGAATATTTTCTGTCGCTGTTGAATGGTTTCAATTACACCAGCACACTTTGTTTGGCTTGCATAGGGTGAAAAGATATTTTTAGGCACTGGCATTTTTAGACCAAGTTTTTGATTGTTATTTGAAAGTCATGATATGTATTGGTAATTAATTTGGAGAGCATTTAGAAGAGTAGGATTAAATTGAAGCTAGAAATAGAATATAAATCCAAACCCTAGGTATAAACACAATTTAAAGGACTTAAAAATTATATTTTTTCTTTTTCATCCTACCACAACTTTTTGTGTTGTGTATAGTAGTTTTAACTGAAGATTAAGAAATTTCCTTCTTTTGCCAAGAAATAATTTATTAATTTGTATGAGAGATTCTGTAAATGGGAGAAACTATCATAAGTGTTTGAGGCAATTTTCTTTGTGGGTGATGAATCTCAACTTCCACAATCAAATTCAGATAAATATTTATTAGTATGAAATGAATGCCTTCCTGATTGTAGGATTGAGACCAAAAGGATATACAGCATGCCTCTATACATCCCCAGAATACATTTGAAACCAATTTAAGCAAGATAATGCTAGAAATTATGCATTTGCTGTATTGCTTTGTTTTATGCAGCCGGGTGAAAATGGGCCTGTGCTGCCAGCACCACCTCCTGTACCAATGGACCTCATGCCAGATAACCTGACACCTCCTAGCACAGGAGTGGCAGATGTATTACGCTTGGCTCGTCCTCTGGAAAGGCCCCCAGAGACAAATGATTGTGCTCCTCGGTTAGTGGAGGAGTACATATTGGAGACTGACCGAGAACAGGGACGTGTCTACCATGTGAAGTTGTCAATACTCCAGCGACCATCAAACTCGGAATTCCTAGGCGAATTATACTTAGATCGCGATTATCGTGAAGGCCAACGTAATGGTTCATCTTGCAGGTAAGCTTTCCTTGTCTTTGAAGAATTTAACCTTTTTGTGAAATATTCTATTTAAGGAAAGGATTTGAAAACAAGTCTGAAAATTATACTTTGGAAATATTTTTTGATGTAAATTCAAGGAAGGTATGCTTTGGTTTGCAGTCATCACAACAGTAAAATCTATTATACATAGATCATGCAAATTTGTTTATTTTATCAAGAGTTATTCTACCCATTAAAATTTTGTGTAAGGCTATTTTTTTCTTCTGAATGTGAAACAAAAATCTGAATTGAAAATTAATATCTATGGTGTTTCAGATTTACACTAGGTACAAGAGCTCATGCCAACCAGTATATTCAACAGTTCCGTGAAATTTTCACCGATGAAGGAAGGAAATCGGTCCGAATCACACACCTTGTGCCTGGTCAGCCTCCTCGTGTTCGATGCACTCCTCGCATGTTGGAGCGTGATGCAAAGCATCAGGTAAGCGTTTGCAATGCAAATGAAAGCTTTGTATTTTATTATAGTTTTTATTATTATTGGTTTTTGATTGTTTTTATTATTATTTTTATCATCATCATTTTAGAGTTTTGTTGTGAAGGAATTCTTCAGCATTAATGATAACGGATTAGTTTTTGTGCAGTATTGCAATTTAATTTGTGAAAGCTTCTGTAGCAGAAGGTTTTCAAGCAGTTGCAATGTAGAATATACCCATTGTTTTATTCAGATGATTTCTTGTGTTAATAAGTTATCACCTCTTCCCAAAATGCTCACTTGATTCCTACATTTGTTCAGGCTCAGTTGCAGGCGCAAGCTGCCCAGCATGCAGCAGCTCAGCAAGCTGCAGCTCAACAGGCTGCAGTTCAGCAAGTCTCAACTCAGCAAATTTCTGTTCAGCAGTCTCCAGCTCAAGTGAATCAAGTTCAGCAAATACAAGTACAACAAGTACAAGTTCAGCAAGTGCAACAGGTCCAACAAGTGCTCTCTGGTCAGCCAGTTCAAGTACATGTGCAGCAAACAGGACAGCAGTCTCCCATGTCTACCGCAACAGTACTTCAGACAGTTCACCAGAACCATGTTTCTGTGCAGCAACAATTGCAAGCTGCACCACAACAGTCAGCACAAGTCTTCAATGTTTTGTCACCACCAACTGCAAGTGCTGTTAGCATCCAGTCCCTCAGCCCCGTTGCATCTAGCACAGTGGTTCCGACTACTGTTCTTGCAAACGGTTCTCTTGGACCAGTAGTGCTGCCAAATTGCTTACCACACAATGGTCCTGTTACTGCAAGTTCACCACTTAGTGTAAGTTCATCATCACTGGGAGGTGTTTTATTCCATGAATTAACAATTTTTTGAACAGTTTTGCATGCTCAGTTGCTTTGAATTCAAAATGTATTGAACATATAAGTGTAGTATTTAATGTTAATTTGGGCATAAGGAGTCAAATAGGATACAAGGAAAATATATTTCAGTTGCTTGGGGAGAGAAAAATTATATTTGGAGTGAAGAAGTACATGAAATCCGCTTAATTGATACCTTGTGTATTAGAAACAAATGAGATACAACATTCTTTTGAGATTATTAAAGTATTCTTAGATTTTATACAAAAATTTGATCAAAATGAAAACAAAGAGATTTTAAAATATGGATATTTGCAGATTCTGAAAATTATTGAGATTTTAAATTGTATTTCATTCAGTTGACACATCTCAGAAACCAGTAGAGTTATAATATTGGACACTTTCTTGTATTATTGGTAACTGTAATGTAATGTTATAATATTGCTATTTGTATCCTACACTTCAAAACATACCAACCCAATGAGAGGTAAAAAAAATTTATAATTTTTGAAAATTCAAAAATTTAAAAGCTTTTTGCCAATGAATCACTTATTTTGCTATGTGCTTTCACAAAGTTTAAAGAAACAAAAGGATTATTTGTTTCAACAAGGAATGAATCTCAGTGCACAAGTTCCTGGATTGAATGTGCCTAGACCACTTGCCTACTATTGTACTGTCTGGATATAAGCTTACAGGTGATTCTTAGTATGTGTGTAATCTCCCTGCCTATCAGTCAACCTTGGTCAGACAAACCTGACAAATTGACAGACAGACCCATGTATGGAAAGGTGGCCGGAAGGGCAAATGGACAGGCTGACGGACGGATGGGTAAATGGTGAGCTGACCAATGAATAGAAGGGCAAATGGATGGGTGGGTGAATAGACCAACTGATTACAGGGCACGGGATAAAGAGCATTGAGGTCTTCAGCTGAAGTCACATTGGACACAAGTTCTGTAAACCAAATTAATATTATTTCATTTTTGTATTAAACATGAGGCTTTGAAGGAGGCCAGGACACACAGGAAGTAACATTCTTCACCTAATAGAGAATTCAGAATGTTTTTGGAAAAATTGAAAATGCTACACTCACCTCTTGCCAAAATGCCATGTGTGTGAAGCCACCTTATGGCGTATTTGAAAGAATATACTGCCAAGTCATAATTTTAGAATATAGGTGCCAATGATTACAGGATTCTTAGACCTTCACAAATTAAAATTTAAGCACTCTTAATGTTATAAAAAAAGAGTTCCAGGCCTGCATATTTTTAATGGAATTTTAACTTCCAGATTCTAAAACCTGGGGATTTTTTCTGATTTACTTGAAGCTATTCACAGTTTAGGTGTATTTCTATTGATTTTCATAACATCATTGAAATGTCGTCTTGGCTGTCTGGCTGTTTTTATCACTGGAATGTCTTTTAAGGACTGTGCCTGTCTTGTGTTTAGGTGAAAATGAGCTAGATTATCTACAATATTTAATAAACTCTAAAATATACATGCACAAGACAAAGACATCTTATTTATATCAATTAATAAGTTTTTAAAGTGACTTCTGGAGGTGACTTTGCAAATGAATTTCACTGTTTCTTTTGTGATACAAAAACAAAACTTAAGTGGAAGTTTATTTCGTTAAATAATTGTGCCATAAGTATAAGGGAACGTGTGTGCAGTAAGCAATGTGTTTAATTTCTTTAGATGCTGTGTTCTGAAGGGTTGGTTACATGGACTTCCTCAAGGGTAGAATGCTGGTAGTATGTGACTGCCAACATAATTGCCTTAAAAATTCCAAGAAATTTAATTGGTTATTCAGTAATGTTTGTGCCACATGATATGAACAGTTCTTGTGTTTCACAGAGAAGAATTGCCAGAACACAATAGTTTTCCTCTTTTCTCTGACTGTGCTCCAAAAGGGATATAGACTGTCATACTGTCATGTAGATGGCATTGATTACTTATTGTTAATTGACTACTTTTTGTTTAAAAACCTTTTCTCACTGATTGGAATGCCCTTTTATGCATATTATCCACATATTTTTTTAAATTTTTATTATGTAATACAGTAAAATCTGTCTGAAGGCAGAATATGCTTGAGGTGGAAATCTGCCTTCACCGGAAAAATATCTTGGAAGGAATTATTTTCCAATGCAAAATACACTAGATAAGCTGGAAACCTGCCTAATGCAGGAATGGAATGGAATTTTTAATATGGCAGTATTAAAATTTGTGATTAAGATGGGAAACAAATATTGTTTTAAAATTAATCATTGACTTCTAAATGTGGGGACATTGTACCAAGAGATAATCAGACATCCTCCTTTTGCTTTCTCAGCTACTTTCATCAGAACCTTGTATTTCCCAGTCTACTCATGTGAAAGATGCTGTTTATTTATAATAGCACCGACCTTCTTAAGGCCATGTGAGGGACAGAGAGACTCGAAGAGTGATCCTTCAACAGTTCTTGCAATGTGTGCATTGGGTTCAGTGGTTCTCAACGTTTACTGTGGTTCAGTTCGCTGAGTTGTAGATATTGTGTTAATCATGTGTTTATGATGTCAGATCACAAATTCAAAATGTTAACGATTGATAAAATTAGACTAATTGAAGAACATGAACAAAGCAATACTTCAGTGAGGGTTTTAATAAAGAAATTTAAAGTTGGGAAAACTCAAGTGTGTAACACCTTAAAAACAAAGATAAAATCAAAAATGAGTGTTAAAAGAAATTTTTTATAGATAGTTGCCACAATATTCATGAGGATCTCGGCAAATTCCCAAAGCTATGTTCTATCTTTTCCCACGAATATTGAAGAAAATAATATTTCTCTTACTTGTTATGGAATTCTTTCTTTTGTGTTGTTGTTTCTTTAAAATGTAGTTTTTAGGTGAGATAAATTACTCCATATCCTATTCCAACTTTGAACTATTGCGTTTTCTGAATTGACAGTTTTTATTTGCAAACATGTACAAGACAGAATTAAATGTAAGTCCCAAATGATTCTGGCTTAGACAGATTTTACTGTACCATGCCTTCTGGACAAAGGAATATCTTTGATATTTAATGAATGAGTCCTCTTATATTGTGAACTTACCTGTAGACAACCTGATAGAAACTGCATTTAAACAACAGAAACTCAATTAAGAATCCTGACAGAAACTGCATTTTTAGATGTAATCAAAACTATGAGATTGATGAAAAAACACCAACTTACTGCAATTTTATTGATCAGAGATTTTGTATCACTGATATCACCCATAAAATTCTCTTGATTTCATTCATCTCTCAGAATGAATTCATGATGTGTAAACATTGTGAGTTGTGATTTCTTGAATTTTCAGGAATGTGCAATCAGTTGGCCAAGTTTTATAAAGGTGAAAGTAAAACATGAAATATAAGCAATAGCATAATCAGGGGACTCCTAAATTCCCAGTAATTGGTACCAGGTAACTCAATTAAACAATTAGAATGCAATATAGGATGTGAAAATTCCATTTAACAGTCAGCATTAAGGAAATAAGAATTTGTGTGTTAGAGAAGAGTCCATTAACTAGAAATCTGCGAGAACAAATGAAAAATAGACTATTATGTTAGAAAAATGTTTTTTCTGAAACATAAACTTGAAACATAATTGTTCAGGAGCATCACTTATCGAATACAACACTATAGGAAAGTGAAAGGCAAAATCAAAGATTCTCTCGTGGCTCAGTGGCGGGTTCGATTCCAATAGAATCCCCGTAGAACCTTATGTAAAATTTGTTTCGACAAAATGAGTTTGCATGGTTCACAAATGTAGTATTACTCCTGTGCTGGTATTAATGGAGGATTACTCCAAAGCGCTCAATACGTCTTGGAGACATGTTGCGTTAATTTAGGATGCAACAAATACAATAATAATAATAATAAAAAAAAAAAGCCCATCAGTCAGCTATGACTCCACTCATTGACCTCATGAGAAATTGAACACAATCATTATTAATCTTGAAATCGAAAGAGAAGGGAAATGACAAATGAGCTTGATGGCTGTCTGATACTGGGAAAACAAATATATTGCCAATCTAAATAAATCGGTGATTGTTGGGTCAGATCCCAAATTGGGAAAATATATGTTATAAAAAATGTGTAAAAACCAATGGATTCACTCTAGGACTGTGAAACTGTTCATTGTAGAGAGATATTACAAGAAGTGTAACTGGAATATAAAAAATCTCTCACCTGAAAACTCAACATTTTGATAGTGAGAAGGGAAATATGTTCTTGGCTGTGCAATTGTTACTCTTCTCAGCTTTGGCTCCCTAAAGCAATTATAAAGCCTCCCTTACTCAGAAATAATATGTATATTTTTTAAGGTTTCTTTCATTGAAAATACTTTAAAGAATTTTTGTATTATATGTATGGGGTGTGAACTTTGATGTGTACGTCTATCACAAATATATAATGTCCTATTGTAAATCTGCTTGAATTGCTGCAGCAACAAACACAGCAGCTGCAGCAACCACAACAGCAGCAATTACAGAAACCTCAGCAGCAGCAGCAACCCCAATCGACTTCAGGAAGTCCTGTTGCTAGATCCAAAACGTCAAGTTCTGTCTGGCAAGCAGCTGCAATAAGTGCAATAGCAAAAGGTCTGATGAACTCAGCTCAGCAGTACCAACAGGAACGTGCTGCAGGTGAATATGTATTGTTTATTATTTTTGGAACATTCATGCTAGTTATTTATTAACTAGTGCACCAGCAATGCTTCGCTCTAGTAGTGTATTACACATCACACACTACTGGTCACTGGATTTCTGCTAAGTCCTACTTTAAACATGGTTTTCTAGTATCCTATGGTTGAAACATTCTCGCTCAAAGGGGTAGGGGAATAAGATAGGGAAAACCATCCCTGAAGACAAAAAAAATTTTAAGTTAAAAATTGTAATTGAAGTTTAAAAAATATTTTTTTCGCCGTATTTAAATCAATCTATTCAGAGTACTTCATACAAATGATTTTTCAGCTCCTTAGACAAGTTTAATTTTTTTTACCACATTACGCCAGTGAATATTGGCTTTAGTTATCCTTGTGATTTTCTGTAGATGATAAAGATGTTTCAAGAATTTTTTCAAGCATTTATATCTTGTTTTGACCCTTACAAACAAGAAGGGAAAAATAGAAAGAAATCCTTTTTTACTTCATTCTTTAAGAATATGTCATGTTCTAATGCAGATCATAAAAAGGGCTCAATACAAATTGTAACCCTGTAAATTCTCTACAGTTTCCCAAAAATTCAACATTTTATCTTATAATTTGCACCCGACAGCTCTATCTAAAACAGTAATTTAATAGTTGCTTATTTATTTTATTAATTTTTGTAGTTTTTATATTTGGTGTTAATAAGAAAAAAAATAGTTAATGGTAAGAAAATTGTAAGAGTAATATTATAATCCATTGTGATTGTAATATTGAATGATGTGATGAATGAGTTTCAGCATTTTAAATTATATAATTTCCTCATCAATATTAGACTTGGGCACTAAACATTTCAACTAGGAAAACCCACCAGTAGATTTATATTGTTTTTCAATTGATCAAGTTTTTTCAATATACTCACTTCTTTATTACAGCAATTGCAATAAATTACATTTCCATTCGTCCTCAGACAATTGTCTGTTGTTTTAGAAGTGTTGCTATCGAAAACCTTAGAAGAAGCCATTTTATAATTAACCCCACAATTAATAAAACTTGGTTTTAATCCTCTATTGCACGCAAGAAGACTGAGAGTCTTACTGGGCGGATTTTGATGACCTAAAACATCGCCAAAAATTATCAATAAAATGCTCTTAAAAATGTTTTTAAAATGCCCTAAAAGCTAAAAAGAAGTGACTTAAAAAATGTTATCAAAACCAGTTTAGATGAATAACTCGAGGCATTGGATTTAGTACATATGAAATCATGACCTCTTCTATTCGTTCATGTGAGCTCAGTTTTCAAACTTTTATTGTAGTGTTCTTTACCAGGAAGTCTCTGTCTTTAGTTATCCTAAAATCAGCTGAACTGACAATGGCGTTGATAGGCATCACAGGAACCTTAGTTTAGACCCGCAATGGCAGACATTACAATTTCTAGTTGAAAAAAATCAAATAGGCCATTCAGGAATTCTGTGGAGAATGTTTGTGGCATCTTGTAAATATTATTTGAAGCAAGTACCATTAAAATGATATAAAAATTGATGAAACCAGCAAAAAATATATTGAAATGATCGGAAAAAGTAAAATATGACATATTAATAAAAATCAATGAAAAATGCAAAAAAATAAATATTTAAATAAATAAAAATATAAATTAAAAAGTATATTTTTTTAAAAAAATGGGTCATTTCGTTTTGTCATAACATAAAATTAATTTCTAAACTACACATCATCTTGTACGTCATCATCATCATCATCATTATCATCATTATCATCATTATCAGTATGATACTAAACAGCATTTTGGTTTTTAGAGAAAAAAATGATATTTCATTAAAATCCGTCACTAATTATTAGATTTCGGCAAAATATGTAGTATGAAATATGAAAATATGTACGTAAATATGTAGTGAAAACTAAGAATGTGTAATAAATAAGTAAAATCTGTTATAATATGTAATATTAAAATACTCTAAAATACATATAATATACAAAATTACATTCATCAAAAAAATCCTAAACAAATTTTAAAAATAATACGAACATTTTAAAAATCATTTTGAGAGCACAAGTTGATGCACACTTTGCACCACACAACTTTCCTGTCAGTAGTAGAAGCTTCATCTATTGTTATCTAGGTCCTTAGCTTAGTAGCCAGACTAAACGCAATAGAAGCCATCACTCAAACTGGTGGTATCTACGACCAGCAAACAATTACTGCGATGTGTCGCATTTTATCCAAGTGTTACATGTAGGCTATTGCCAAAGTTTCTCCGAAATAAAAGTTAATTGTCACAAAACGCAGCATCAGTGATACTTTTCATGCGTACGAAAATGGTCTCAGTCGCCACAGACGAGCACTTCCCTCACTCAGTGTGAGATAACTGAAGCAGGTGTGCTACAGGGCTGTAAGAAGTAATAATGTAGGAAAAAATGCTGATTGAAAAAAACAAATTTCCATAAAAAATATTTAATAAAATTGAAGAATAGTGATTGAATAAAAAAATAATTTGTGAAAATAGAAAAATATGTAAAATATGTAAGTTAGTACTAAATATGTAAACTTATGTAACGAAAAAATTGAAATATTGTTACGTCTATGGTGATTTGCCAAGATTACGATGAGAAGAAAACCAAAACGGTGAGAAGAAAAACAAAAAATATGTAATTACGTAAAAATCTGGTCTCTACTAATTATCATTTTTCATTGACATTTTATCTGAAATTTCTGTCACAATACATACGTCTTTAGTTGAAAAGGAAATTAAACATTTCATCTGAGAATTGCCTTCTGACATGTAAACCATATTTAAGACATCATTTTCCGAGCAGCGTCAGGTCATCATTGTGTCTTCTCATAAATGCTTTCCAACCTTTAGGACTACTTTTCACGGCTAGTGACCGCAAAGTAATGTCCAAATGTGGAAGTTTTTATAAACATTTTGATTCTTCGTTTACTTGTGCAATTATTTTAGTGTTGATAATTTATATTTTAAGTATGTTGTTTGAATTTATGTCTTAAGTATTTTGATTTCACTGTTTCATTGAGAGAAATAACACATTTTGATAGGCTATACATTAATTCATTAATCTTTCTGTTTTAGCTGTTGCTGTAGCTAATGCTAACTCTGCAAACTCAACGAATACTGGTAATGTAAGTGCAACAAGTATTGGTAATGTGAGCTTAGTAAATAATCCAGGAACCTCAATAGCTAGTGGCATATCAAGTTCAACATCAAGTAATGCAGCTATTTTAAGCCTTTTGAATAGTGGACCGGCTCATAGTGTCAATCATACTACTGTTCCTATAAATGCTCAGTCAATACAACAGCAACAGCAACAACAACAGCTTCAGCAGCAGCAACAACAGCACTTGCAACAACAATTACAGCAATTACAACAGCAGCATCAACATCAATCAATCCAACCTCAGCCGACCCAAGTCCAGCAGCAAGTGTCACAACCTCAGATAAACACAAAACTGGTGGCTCAGAAAGTAACTCTTAGCAATCTTCTGAACTCCCGCCTACTAAACCATAGCACTTCTGCATCTGTGACATCTGGAAGCCAACAGCAGCGAGTACCCACCTTAGCTGCAGCGTTGGGAGCACCCCTTGCCACAGCCTCCAACACTCAATCCCAGCAGCAAGCCTCTCAATCACAGCAGGTGCAGCAACAAGGGTTTACTCTCTCTCAGAATGTTGGTTTTCCCACCTCTGGTACAGGTACGTTTGCCCACTTTGAAATATCACATTCAATTTTGTCTTTCATCAATCAATGTGTGTGTGTGTCGCATTCGAGGGGGTAGATCCCATTGTAGTCAGACCTCTGGGGTAGTTAGTTTGCTATATCTTCGTTTAGGTAAGGAGTTAGATTCATTGTTGAGGTCTTTAATTCTGTTGTCACAGGGTAAAAGTTCTTAAGTCAGAAATCGTAGTTTGGAGAAAACAAGGGTTAGATTATTGAACCATGAGCTATATGAAGCCGTTTAGTTATATTTTCCGATGCTTTTTGACGTTAATGACAACATGAATTCAGTCGTTTTACTAAAATAAAAAACAGACATTTAACTTGTTGTTTCAGTACTTAACCTAATTTCGTCAAAAATTGACTTAAGAACTTTTACCCCTGGACCACAGAATTATTACAATCTTCTTCAATCCTTAGTGACAATTTAATTTCCCAATTGAATGTTTATAAAACAATTCATATCCATCCCCACAAATAATTGATTTGTGAAAACTCCAGTATTCTTACAGCCACACACTCGTGCATTTGCAGCAACATAGTGAAAGTTAAACTAGTTAAACAAAACTCTTTGTCTTTTGTTTTTCTGTGGAAAGGACTGCAAGTTCAAAAAATTCTGCAGGGCTTGTTCAAAACATTGCCATTTCAAAAGCTGAAGTATTTTAACTTGAACCTGCAGCAAAAAATTAATGTAATGTGAAATTACATATCATTAGTTAAATGCACTTATTATTTTTTTATATTCATAAATTGTTTCTTCAATTATTTTCAATTTATTCTGGGATCACCTATTGACTCCTCATTGGAGTTCTCAGGGTTCAAATGGCATTGGTATGTAACTATTAATTACTTTAACTGTGCTGGTGTTTGTTGAATTTTGAATTTCTTTGTTATTTTCTTCACATACTAATATTTAGAGCTCGTCTATATTTAACCTCTGCTGTCGAAGCAGTTGAGAATACAATAATTTAATTTGAAATTTTAATTGTGCAGTGAAGGTACGAGGTGTTGCAGTGCCAGGCAAAGGAATGTCTGGAACTGTCACTCTTAACCATTCAGGAAGGATTTTAAATGCCAGCTCAGTGGCAGGGACAAGTTCTCCAAATCGAAGGTTGACAACAGTCTCTTCGGCTGGTGTTTCACCATCGAGTGACAGCAACTCGAGTCTTGGGCCAACAATGCCTGGATTGTCAGCGTTGCTGGCTGGTGAGTATAGAAAAACAAGCAATCAAGGATATTTTTTATGTACAAGTTTGAAAATTGTTATTGCTGTGAAACCTTCATAACTGAAATCAGGACGAGGGAATTAAAAGATTTAAAGTTAGTGAATGCTTTGATGTTGAAGTTACAAAGAGGATAAAAGGGATTTAAAAGAAAAAATGGAGTCCTAGAAATACTGTGCACTTTTGTTTACCTATAAAAATGGACTGTATGTGATTTAGTGCTGAAATATTTCAAAAAATTCACAAGAAGTGAAGTTCTTATTATTGTGCAAAACTTTTAAAGACTGACAAATAATTGAAATGCATGCAAGGTATGTAATAGAGAAATATGTAATATTACTGACGTTTAATATCAAAAATTTGGAAGCACTTGGATTTCTCTCTTCAAGAATGGCCTTTGTCTGAGACTTTGTAAATTTTGTTTGTAAATTAAATTTGTCCATTACACAGTATCAATTAATAATGATACAGAGTATATTGATTGTTTTATCTTAATATACACATGATATTCAAGTATTTATTTTTATAAATAACTTAACTGATTGTGAACAATTACAGTATAATCTGAAGCAAATCTTCAGTGGTGCAATGAGAATAAATTGAGACTAAATTCCAACAAATGACAATTTTTTATCAATTTAGAAGTCAAATAATTGATATGTAATTACTTTGACTATACTTTTAGATAATAGAAAACTACCATGTTGATAACAAGGATCTGAGTGTTGTTCAAATTACTTATCGAAGAAATAGTTAATGAAGCTAATAAAGCTCTTGGCTACATTTTGAGATTAGGTACAACAATTAAATCTATTCATCCAATTAAATGTGAAAACTTGATGCATTTGTTTCACCAAAACTAGAATATGCCTTACTTACATGATCTCCAGAAACGAGTAAAAGGATATCTTGTAATGAAAAATGCCATTGAAGATTTTTTAAAGATTTTTAAGAATGTGGTGCCTATCCTCCAAGAGGAGGAGACATGACATATCTTCACGATAAATTTGATTTAACTGCTAGAACACCGAAGAGAAATTATGTGTAATATATACTTATTGCAAGTAATTCATGGCATGATATATTTTCTATATTTATAGTAAGAATATACCCATCTTATTGGCCATGACCACTTTGTAGTCAATCTGGATTGCATAAATCACACAGTTCGGTTAGTTGTGATCATTTTGGAATAATAGCTCTCATTGAATGTTTTTGAAGTGCATTTTAAAGGGAACTATAGTTCTTTCAACTGCAGTTGATGTATCATAAAAAGAAGAATACAACTAAATATCATCAGTTATTTTTAAAAGTAATTCGAGTTGGTTGTTGCCATGTGATTTCAAAATCTAAATCTTGACCATCCAAACTTTTGCGCATTGTTGCTATTGTGGACTGTGCAAGTTTACTGTGCTTTGCAAGAGTATGTTAAGTTAACTGCCAATGGATCAGGTGTCCTTGACCTGGTTCCAGTGATCGCCTTTCTGAAAACTATTGTTGAACCAAAACCTACCAATAATTTTCTTATTTATTTTAAGATTTCCTTCATACTTTGCTACACTTACAGAATTTGTGTAATTCTTTTTGTAATGTATTTTGATAAGGTAGATAATTTGGAAATTATTGGTAAAGTTTATGGTTGATGGGACACCCATATTAATTTGATGTGTTACCATAGATTTGTGTTTAGAATTCTGATTTAAATTGTAGTAGCCTTATTTCTGAATGTTTCCGAGAGTGATTTCTTTTATAGGTTCACCTTCTGCTGATAACCCCATCCCAGGAGCATCCACAACAGCGTCTCCTGCACTCATGGAGAGGCTTGCTGCTGCCACAGCGCCTCCCACCCCAGGGCCTGCAGGATCCCCTGGCACCCCAGTGAATCACCCGCACACTCCATCCCCCAAAGCAGCCACTCCTTCCAAGATTCTTCAAAGCCCACCACCCACTCCCACAACACCTGTCCCTGCTGGTACCCCTACTCCTGCTTCCACACCCACGCAGACAAGTGTGAATGTAAACGTCCAAGGCTTAAGCCTTGCGAGTTTGCAAGGTGCTGTTGCCTCGTTCCCTGGCTTGCAGGTGAGAAACGAGAGAAGAGCAGAGCTTTTGTAAATTGCTTTTGTCTACTAGAATGTTTCAATGTTTCTCCTTGTTCTATTGGGAAATATGTAGGTATCTTCATCAATCATCCATATCACCATCACAATAACAATCAACATTACTTTTACTAACATAATTATTAGGACTGTTAATTTATTATTCTTTATTATGCTTTTTTTGTATGAGGTAAAGTAGTATTCAAAGCTCAAGATGATGTCAGGCATTGTTTCCCTTTCAACAAATTGAATTGATTGTCATTCAGATGTATAGATTCAGCTGTGATGAAACTATGTAATTACATCATGGATTCATCATTGATAAATGAATTATTGGCCATATTTATAGCAGCAGAAAAAAGAAAAAAAAAGAAAGAAAGAAGAAGGAGGGGGGGTGTTGTTGTTTTTAGGTGTTAGGAAAAGGACTCGGTGTGATTTTGTACGAAAATATTGATGAAAAGGATTGCAATAAATTGCTGAAATATTAGGAGAATATACCTTATTTATTATAATTTTTCGTAATCTTTGCAAATGTTGCCTGTCCGACTAGGCTTTGAAAAATGTACTGTAAGAAAAGAAAAATTATGAAAGACGATGTGCCCTATAAAAACAAAAATCTTTCATGCCAAATTAATGTAGTAAAACAAGTATGTTGTGCAGTATTTTTCTAATAGGAACATTGACTTTAGAGGTGTTATTTTGGTAATATCAGAATATTTTGGTATTCCCATCTTTATATTTATGGACTAAATGAAGAGGATTTTGTTGGGCATAAACACTGATTTTTTTTAATATAAAGTTCTTGAGATTAGAGCAGAGACATTCCATTATTATAGATATGACTCATACCGAGTTATAATATAAAATGGATTGTGAAATGAAACTAAATTTCTTTATTTACAGAATAATTTACACTTTGTGTTACAGTAAATACGAAGTGTATATGAAAGTAAAACACTGTCAGGCCTCATTCAAAATAATCATAATCAAATCGTGACATTATATTTGTGTTAGCAAATCATTTGTTTTCATGTGAAGTTTCAGGAACCAAAAATCTTCTTAATACAACATTTGTGCCACAATAATTTTTTAGTGAATGTAATGGGTTTTATTGATTGGCAAGTGGTTGTTAATGAATGTGATGGCTTGACTATTAAACAAAAATTAAAAAAGAATGTATAACTGTCCTACCTGACAGAGGTGCCAAGATAATTTGAATTAGAAGTAAATACATTTTCTATATGTTTAGAAAGATAAAAGCCACTCTGTGCATACAGAGTGGGTTTAGTGCTGGATTCTCATGTACCGATAAAATTTTTGTTATCAGACTAGTGATTGACAAACTACTTGCCCATCATTTAGAAACTCACCTGGTATTCAAAGATTTAAGAAGAGCCTAGGACGCTGTTCCATTAAATAAGCTCTGGTTGGCCATGGAGAGAAAAGATGTTAAGATGTACTTACTGAAAGCTGTTAAAAACCTATACAGCAGAAATATAAGCCAAATTAAAATTAAAAGAAACCTTTTCAAACCATTTTCTGCAAATAAATGTTTGCAGCAAGTGTAATGTATAGCTCGTACTCTACATTTTATTTAAATGAAACTTTGAAACTCTGGAGGAGAAAATCCTGCATTGTGGGTATTAAATTTGATAATTCAATGCTCTATTCTCTTAATTATGCAGATGACCAAGTTATCTTCATTGAAAAGGAAGACAATATTTTGTATATGTTGCAAAGCATTCATGAAGAGTATTTAAATTGGGGCTTGAAATAAATTTTAATAAAACAGAATATCTAGTTGAAGGAGGAGAAGCAAAAACTGTATACGTGATGGATGAGAATTGAAATCCTCTCGGAATGTTACCTACCTACTCGGATAGCAGTAAATGGGGATAGTTCGCATGATATTCAGCGTAAAATATCAAAAGGGAAAGAAGCTATAAGGCAATGGCATCTATTTATATGGGTCAAACTTTATGGTAGTGTTAAAAGGAGGTTATTATAGAGGGTATTGCCACATATGGGTGTGAAGTTTAGGAAATATAGAAAGGTAATGAGAAAAATTTTCGTGCAATAGAAGTGGATTATTGCCAAAAAAGCTGCGACATGGCTGGACAAAAAAAAAAAAAGAAGAAGAAGAAGAAGAAGAAAATAGAAGAAAAGCAGAAGGTGGTTTCAACATTATCGATAAAATTGAAATTTAAAGGCTCAAAAGATATGGTCTCTTAAACAGAATGTGTGAAGAACAATGACCTCTTAAGTCCTGGTATTGCCGACCACCTTCACTGAAGCCAAGGAAGACATGGAAGAAAGGAGTGGAGGAGGTGATGGTTAGAAGAAGATTAACTGGAGAAGATTGCAGTGACAGACTTAAATGGAAACTGGGATGTGAGAAACGTCTAATAGAGGAAACTACTTGCAGTAATAATACTACTAGAAAGGCAAAATTTCGGAGTTTGGGGCAAATTGCCCCTGCTGCTCCTCTCCCCTCCCCAATCCCCTCCTCCTCATTGGGTGCCATTGATGACAGAATGTTATGGTTGTGTCAGGTCCCAGTTCTGATCATGAAAAAATAAGTCTAGAATTGAACCTTAAAGTTTTGAGTGAATGAATATTGAAAGTATGACTTAAAAACTTTGAATATATGTAATTGATATTTTTATAGTATTTCAAACGAGTTTTAGCTTAAAATTAATGTTAATTTCATCACATTTAATTTTTTTGCAATAATATTTAATGTATTGGAGTTAACTTTAAAAACATGTGCTATGAAAATCAAAATTTTTGTTCCAGGTATCTATTCCTGCATTAGCTGTACCTATTTCTGTGTCATTAAATATGGCCCAGCCATCCAATATGCTAGTAAGCCAATTGCCGCTAAATACGAACAACAATGGTGGCAATACTACAACTTCGGTATGCATTTTGAATTAGTAGTGCTGTAGTCTAATGCATTTCTTTATCGTTTGAATTGTCAGATTTTATTGCCTACCAAGATCTGTTATCTCCTACTAGCGAATCATGGGCTAAAGGTGTGGTAGCATGGCTGCGCTACTAGAAAACTTTTTTTTTTTTAAACATTTGGTTTTGTGAAATATGCATAAATGTTTAATTTGTATGAACTACTTGTACAAGTCACAATTGCTTGACAATTTTCTTGCATTATTTGCAAATCAGATGTGATAGAATGCGTATACTGCAGGTGCTCTGGTTAATTCTGAGGTGCTACCCAGTCACTATAATGATACAACGTAGGCCATGAAGCTGTCAGAAGGGCAGTAAGGGCATAAAGTCTTGTTATCTTTGCCCAACATTTCAAAGACTTAGAGAAGGGATCAGGGCAGTCAGATGAAGCATATGAATAACCTTTAGAATTCAGAACACTTTTGCGATGTGGTGTACTTCATGAATCAATGGCAAGATCCCAGAGACTGTGGGGATGAGCCAAATTCATGAGAAATATGTGAAATGGAGGCAAGCAAATGTTTAGGTATTTCATTTAATAATTATACAAGTTATTCATTTAAAACATATTAGTGCCTGCACATTTTATTCTCTATTATTTTTGGAAGATACTTCACACACTGGAGGTTTCTCGACAGACTGATTCACAAAATTAAGCAGAGATAAACATTGCTTCAGAAAAAGATAATTTGAAGTTTTTTTTCTTCATGACATAGGTTTCGAAACGTTTTGAGGAATAATATTTTCCTCGTCTTCAGGTTACAAAGAACTGCAAAATTGAAATATCACTAAACTAAATAAAATGTTACTCACACTCGTTAGAAATGGTACAAAATGAGAGAATTTTGTAATCATATCTTCTCAGACTGTGCACCATCTTTCCTTCCTCTTCCTTGTCCTATCCTTTTCACTTACTTATGTTTACCATGTTACTTAGAGGGCTTAGAGATTGCAGGTAGAATTTCCCTGCAAACCTTCTTATAGATTGGATCTCCCATCCAGGGGGCCAGGAATACCTCCTGGCATAGTAAACATTCCTACCCTATTGGGGGAATGGCCATATCAGTTGACTTGCATCAAAACCTGAATCAATTAATTAGTTTACAACTTAATATTTTATTAATATTATTAATTTTAATATTAAGATTTTCTTATTCGTTTAATTTCCTTGTCTCTTTTAGAGCTGGCTTTTATTGAATATTAATGATTGTTATGTTGCAGTTATTAGATCAATAAATCAGTCATAATCACTCCTTATCTTCAGAATCAGACAGACATTTCGTTGACCCACCCCACCCCACCCTGATCTGGCTTGCACAGCTTGAAAGGTTCCGGCCTGTGAGCTGTGTACCATCATGAGTCTTGAATTGGGAAAACACAGAAACAGTAAAGATGATGCAGCTTATAGACTGATGCTTACCTCCTCTGCTGCCCTGACATGCCTGCCAAGACTGTTTTCACTGGCGGCAAAGATACTAGGTGGCCAAATTGCTACAATGAACAGTTACTTCCAGACATGGGTTGCAAGATAAACTTAAGACTCTGTGTATGGAGAGGACTGATATAGTTACTCAAAAGGATATTCATAGCATTTGTCAGAGAATGATGGGAAGAAAGCTGTTAGGAATATCACTAAAGAGAAAATTCACACCTGTGAGATCTGGAGAAGGCAAATACACTAAAATGGGAATGGACTAGACATTTTGATTTTAATGAGATTAAGAGATTGATTTACTGTACTACAGCTTGAGATCAAAGAAGAGATAGATGAAGCTCAGGAAGATAAAAAACAAGTTGGAAAGATTATTTTTGAAAACAATTTTGAAAGCCATGGACAAGAGCAATGAAAAACGAAGAAGAACATTCATTGTGACCTATTGACAACTGAAAGTGAACTGTTCATAACTGTATAATATAAATACTCGGCTTGATTTCTGGCAGAACACAACAGAACAGCTTTCCAGATCTTTGGAAATAATTAACAAATTGTATTATATTTTTATTAAGTTAATCATTAATTTGGGGTGTGATCCAACTCCTAAAATTTTATAAATCAAGCACTGTATATTCTCATATATGTCCTGTATTTTATATTATTATGTCCTAACTTTTATATTTTTATTAAGTTTATCGATGATTTTGGGTGTGTTCCGACACCTAAAATTTTATAAACCAAGCACTGTATATACTCATATGTGTCCTGAATATATTAAATAGGTAATTATTACACATAAATAACATTACCTTATACTATTTTCCTAGGGTTTGTAAAGGCCTTAAAATCATTACAAAACCCATATCCTATAACATTCTAACCTTTCGAGTTCTAGTATTCACCCCCAGATGATCTCTTCATTTGCATCAAAGCTACAGAAAAAGGGCTATATTGTATGGCTGAAGAAGACGAGTACACGCTAATCTACCAAACTCTTTCGAAACTATTTACCATATTTATTTATTTTGTGTGGACGTCATATATTGTCCTACCAGACTTTGTCACTCCTCAGCACTTGAAATAAAACAGCACAACAGAAGATCTTCACCCTCATCTCTGCACTTACTTCTCAAACACCCTCTCCCATTTGCCCCCTAATGTGCACATTTAATTATTTATTAACACTTTTTATTTATATAATACTTTATTTATTATGATTATTGATGGTATAACTTATTTTATTACTGACAGAATTATTGATTTTCTTATTCATTGTTTACTTATTTATTTCCTCCACAGTCTATTCTCCGCTCATAACCAGTCCTATTTTCTCACTACTTAATTTCTATTTTCCTAATAGCTTAAACCTTCTATTTAGGATTTTTTCTAATTCTTTAATGAAGCAAGGCCCATTATCTCTTAATGCTCGTGAAAAATTATGAGATTTATAATCATGACATTGTATCATTAAGGTTTAATTCAGTGATAAGTGAAAGATTTAGAAACTATGAGTGTCTTCATAACTATATTCTTTACTTTATAACTATGAGAACTTTTAAAGCTAAAAGTTTAAGATTAACTACAATGCAAAAAGGTTAATTCACACAAGAGTAGGAGGCCCTTTTTTTATGGAATACTTGCTACAGCCTAAAATATATTATTATTATTATTATTATTATTATTATTATTATTATTATTATTATTATTATTATTATTAAAGTGCTTCCAGAATTTTATGAAATGGTTATGGTAAAAGAAAAAAAAATCATCAGTACTGTTTAATAACTATGTTTGTTGGATTTCACAAAATTTGCATAGTAATATGATTCTATAGAACTGTAATCAATGAATCTAAGAGAGCGTTTTAACATTTGCAGCTAATATCTTCTAGTACACCCACTAGCTCAGTTGCTCTGGGAACAGCAGGTGCTAGTCCCACCATGGTGCTTGCCAACAACTCGCCTGTACTTTCTTTGCCTGTTGGTAAGTGTGTGTTGACTTGTGAATGACTGCCTTACCAGCCCTTGGTTGGCCCACTGGGATAGTGCTCACTGTGTTGTGTGTGTGTGCATGTGTGTGTGCAGCCCAGTTGGTGACAGCCGGTGTCAAGGGTCTGCCACCGCAGCAGCGAGCAGGGTCACCTGCAGCCGGGGTTAATCAGTTGTCGCTGGCCCAGCAGGTATGGGTTCTCTAAATGCATTTCATGTATAATGGTAGCTTTTGACTAAACTGAATGCATGATGCTTGAAAGGCTTTGATTGTACTTTAATTAATGATTTTTTTCTGGAATAGTTATGATCCATAAACTGCATCACTATATAAATTTCTGTATCTGATTCCCAAACCTATCACTCAATTCTTCTGACTTTGAGCATGGCCTCACTCTCTAAATAAATTAAAAACACAGTGAAATCTATTGTAAGCAGTTATGTTTGGTTCCTAATGGTCATTAGGTAAAGGGGTGAGTGACAAACAATGGAGGGTATGAGATAAAGGAAACAGACATCTGGTATAATTTTGTCATTTTCAATGAAATTAAAAATGCTTATGTTATTATCTTTTCTCTGACACAAACTACAAAATACAGGAATCTTCTTTGTACATGTGCACTTAACAATTCTTAAACAAAATTATTCAATTTCTCTTTCTCTGCTCTTTTCTTTCTCAAACCACTGTTTGTTTCTTCCCATGTGTACCATTTGTGAACCTGATTCCCAACAAGACATGATGCTGAAATTCAACCTTGAGTAAATTTTGGAGCATGACACACAATCTACTATTGCTATCTGAAATAGAAATTAATCCACTTCTGAGAAACAACTCTATGCTATCACTGTTCTCAGTAAATTTGACAATGCATTGTGATTTAGGAAAAAACTGAATCAATTGGCATTTTCAGCAATATTTTAGTGTTTTGGCTCTAAATCTTCACGTAGTAATGACGGAGTAATTGAGGTTAATCTATGAAATACCTCGCTGCTGACTGTGGAGCAAGGTGACCACGTAAAATAGAATATTTACATTATTTGGGAAAATCAATCACTTTCACAAACAAAAGGCCATTAATGATGATCACTACTAGATCAAAGTGATTGTTTTAACAGGTTTCACTGTATTATATATCATAAATAAATCCACTTTTTAAAAGTACATTGAATTTATGAACCTTTTAAACTATTATTAGATCAATTGAGGATAAAATATATTCTTATCAATCAATTTAAACAAAATCACACTTTTATTTAAAGCGTCCTTTTTTGTTGTTGTTGTGAAGAAAGGTCATTTTTTTGAGACAATTTAAGAGTTTGTCTATTGAAATGTTCTTTCTGTATTTCAATTCATCTGCCTTAAAAACAACACTATCAGCCTTATATTATCTCTTCAGTGCCTTAATTGTCACTAATTCATACAAATTTTATATAACTCACTTTCTACATAATTTATAGAGATTTCATTGTGGACGTTTTATTTCTTGTATACTCTATATAGAGAAGGGTATGTAATGCTGTAGGTAAGTGTTGATATTTTAACTGAAGAACACTATTTTTGAGTTCCTGAGAACTGAAAAAAGTTTTGTTTTTTCTCTTTATTTCTAATATAATACTACTTTCTTGTATTTATAGTTTAATCAAAATCCATTTTGTGGTGGGTCCTTGATACCAAAAAAATGTTTTTCCTCAAAACTTCAATCAATCAGTGAACAACACTAGCAGCTAATCCAAACACACATCATTTTTAACAAATGTGATACTTCCTGGGTAATGTCACAGAACCACCAAATATAAAACTGTTCTTTATTTTCTCTAAGTTCTTTACATGAAGCCTTTGGGACATTTTAAATATTTTCTCTAAAATGGTTCCAAATTCTTACTTTCTCATACCCTACTATTACACAGAACTAGAAAAATATGTAATGCTGCAGGAAAAAGCCAATTTTGTAGCTTTTTTCCCCTCTCTCTCCAGAAGAAAGAGGATTTTCCTTGCAATTAGTGATAAATCCCAATTTTTCCCAAAAATATGTAGTCTATTACTTTACCATAGATGTAGTGTAGTCAGAAACAGGGTTGGCGATTGGTGAGAACCGAAAATATACTATATGAAGGGAAAAATACAAACAGATTTCTTTTTCAAATTGTAATGTTTATCGTTAAATAATTTTAAGTAACTTCAACTGTTCCATTTTGCAATGCAAAAACAGCACTTCACTTTGCATTTTTTAAATATACAATCACTTAACAATTTTTGGTAATTGATTTTGTTGGTCATGTCGCTATAAACATGTAAAATTGCAATACTGTTGATTGGATCTTTGGACATGGTTGTTCGTAAATACTTTTTGAGTCGATGCAATACCGAGAAACTTTGTTCATCTCTATAATTTGACCTTTATGGAATGTTTCTTTCACCTCAAATTCCGAGTGGGTATTTTACAGTCACTCCGTCAGTCGTTCGGTCCGTCCGTCGGTCCGTCCGTCGGTCCGTCCGTCGGTCCGTCCGTCGGTCCGTCCGTCGGTCGGTCCGTCCGTCGGTCGGTCGGTCGGTCGGTCGGTCCGTCCGTCGGTCGGTCGGTCCGTCCATTAAGGGTAAAATTATCTTTCCTCAAATATTGTAGTTGTAGGAAGAGGCCAAAAAAATGTTTGAACTCTTGCAATTTTTTAAAGCTTTCTTTACACTATTTGAGGACAAATTTTAATCATAAATTTCTGAGCCATTTTTGAAAATATTTCAAAGTTTTTGTTGAGTTCTTTATATAAAAGAACTTCCAAAATCAAGATATCCATTAAAACATGCAGGGTTCATTCAGGTCAATCAGGGAAAATATATTTGGAAACAATCATCTGAATAGTTAAAGTACTAGCACAGTTACAACATAGAGAGAAAGTGTTTAGAGGAAGAAATTTACTACATGTAAGAACAAGATTTATCCCCTTTCTCTTTAACCG